AGCCAGCCCCTAAGAAGGCGTGGCTACAGCTTCTCCTGCTCCTTAGAGGCAGGAGTGAGTACATTTCTGCCAAAGACTGAAACACTGCAGATGGCCTGATAGGTGGGATTTCACATAGGCACTTGCCCAACTCTTCATTTCACTGTTTTCTCATAGTAGAGACAACTATTTGGAATTTTTTTCTGACAAATTCCTTAAATAGTGGGCCAATGGCTACATATCTAAAACATGAACAAAATACATACTTGCCTACAATAGCTGTTCTGTTACTTATCTGGAGGTTCCAAACATATAGCTGAGGATGGAGCCACTTTTAAAACCCTTTTTTCAAACTAACCAAGAGGCCAGTGAGAGGATATTTTTAGTACACTCCCACACACACAAAATTAATAATATATGCAAATAAGACATTCAGTTTTTTTTCCATTATGTAGATTTATGTAAGTAATGGCGAAGATAGCAGTGAGCATAAGGATTACAACTGATAATGATTCTGGCAGTTTTCCAAGTGATTCAAAATTCATGTTGATACCATAACAATGTAAAATAAACATCACTATGTTTTGTGTGATGCTTATATGGAAAAATGAAAATGGTTTTATCCTCCTTAGTCCTACATTACAGTGACCTGTAAATTAAGAAAGAGAACAATACAAAATTTCAATTGAATTGCTTCATGTATCTGGTTCTTGAATGTCTCTGGCCTTTACTGTCTTCTATATAATGCACAGTCAGCTAATTCACTTGAAAGAGGGGAAAGGGATAAAATATCTAAATTGGTTAGCAATTAGCAGATATGAAAGACCTATTTGTCCCTGTTAATTAGTTACAGTAATTTTGCCTTAAGCATAAAGAACTAAATATATTGTCATTACAAATCTTTCTGCATACATCCATTATAATGAGATTATCTTAGTTGATGCACTCATTTCTTGAAATTGATGAAATTAGACTGCTTAAAGGAAAGAATGATTAGTTATACTACACATTTTGTTGGTATATATAGTTTCATACCTTGAAATGTTTCCATTCTTTCGCTTGTACCTTTTGTATATATTCATGTTTTACATCTTCCTAGAAGAAAACATAATATTCAAGTAAGTAAGTGAGTAATAATTTTGATTAGTATACATTGTATGTCCAACTAATAAATTTGCAATTAAAAAAATCATTGAAACACATAACCATGAGCAGCTAGAAAACCTCAAAGCAGCTTAACTGGGTGGGAAAAAAAAAAACAAGTGAGCCCACTTTGTTATTATTCCATCACAAAGAATCTAATTAGATCTTTAAAGACACACACTTTCTAGAAGTATAATTTATTAACACATACTATAAATAATTATTATACAAATGATTTAGTACATTTTTATAAAATGAGAATAAATATATCCAAAGCCTGTTTTATATATTTGATGATTTCAGACATGTGTATAATGTACTGTGGTCATATTCACATTTCAAAGTCTTTTACATTGTTGGAGGAATTTATAAAAGAGGCTTTAAAAAAAAAGTAAATCATTATTGTGACACCAACTCCACCTTTCATGTTTGTCTGTCTGTGTGTATGTGTGTATGTATATGTAAATATATATATATATATATATATATGCATATATATACATATATACATGTACAAATGTATACATATATGCATATATATACATATATATGTTTCTGTGTGAGTGTGAGTGTGTGTGTGTGTGTGTGTGTGTGTGTGTGTGT